AGGCAGCGCGCGGCTAGTCTGGGCGCGGGCGCCCAGACGCGCGGCCTTCCCGCGCTCGCACACTAGGCGCGCGACTAGCACACCAGACGCAGTCAATGGGCCCGAGGGTTTCTAAAAGCCTCGTATTGCGTGCCGACGGACCCGAAAGAGTTCCGGACTCTGAAAAAGGTGAAATCCGATCTGAAGACGAAGAACGAAGCCAAAGAATGAAGAGTTCAAGAATCGAAGTCCCGTTGATGTGACGGAAGAAAATAATTATTGTAATTATTTATTTATTCGATTTGGTTGTGATTTATAATTTCCATGTGACCCGGTCAAATCCATCTCAATAGCCGATTGCATATATTTATATTTTATGTTGATACTTTTATATTATATGTTCATGCATATAACATGTCATATAGATATAATGTGCCTACTCATATGTTTTATAACATGCCATATATACACGCGCATTTATTATTATTTATTTTATTTATTATAAAAGGGTTTTAGAAAATAAAATAAAATAAGAACCATGCGCTAAAATCAATTTAATATGATTAAATTGATTTAAGTTACAAAATTAATTTACAAAATAATGTTACATGTGAAATTGAATTTAAGAGTTAAATTTTAGAATTTCACATATCCGAAAAATAAATTGTTTATTTTTCGATTTGAAAACCATGAGATGTTTTTCAAACAAAATACATATTTGCAAAATAATGAGTGGGAAAGGGTTGTATGACAATACGACCCACTGGTCTCCATCGTTAGTTCAACATCGTGGGATTCGAAAGGGGCTTCGTGGCGGCACCGATTCCGCACTCCCTACGGAAAGTGTCCTTTCAGATCAATAACAAGGTTGACTTCCTGGCGATAGGATTCAAGGATGTATTTCCGGTTTGACCTACCCTACGGCGGCACTCCGGAGTTAAGTCTGTAGAATCTGAAATGATGGGATACACTCATGAAAATATAATCAAATTGTTGATTATATTTTTGACGAAAATAACGGTAGTTGATAAATATAAAAATATGAGATATTTTGATTATATTAATTAATTGAGAAGGTCTCGGTTCAATTTGTGATAATTTGACCTACCCTACGGCGGCACTATATTCGTGGTAAATTGGATTATCGTTGGCACCTAAAAATTAAAACATGATTTATGTATTTTTCATGTGCATCATGCATCATATTTAATTGTGCCTAAATTCACATGTTTTGATATTCATGCACATAAATTGATTAGATGAATATTCTACTTATTTCCAGATGTTAAATCCTAAAATCTCACTACGTGAAACTGAAACACTGACTAGAGATAAACTATGCAATGTGATAAAGTAACATAAACAACTTACATTCATGTGATAAATATAAGTTTGTCCCAAATGGAGGATTGTCCTCCTGTCCCTAACGAAACCATTGTAGCTAACTATTAGCTTGGGTTGAGCGTGGTAATTCACAAGAAACCTGAAGGCATGGAGACAGCTTATAAGATAATGCAGTCATCAGATACCATATCTGGAAATCCATAAAACAAAAGGGTTGGCTAAATACTGTAAGAGCCTTGAGTGAAAGACAAAAGGAAAGTCATTTCCACCAAAATAAAGGAAAAAAATCAAGCAAATATGATTTGCTAGTTCTAAAAACATGTTTTAGTAAAAATGGTGATTCCTTATTCCTGGATAGTAGATTCGGGAGTTGCTGCTCATGTTTGTTTTCTTTATTAAGTCTTAGTTCTTACAAAGAAATTGTTTCCCGAAATAAAGAAAGGAACTCAAGCAAATATGATTTGCTAGTTCTAAAAATATGTTTTAGTAAAAGGGTGATTCTTTATCCTGAATAGGTGATTCAGGAATAACTAATCATGTTTGTTTTCTTTATTAAGTTTTAGCCCTTAAATGGAAATTGTTTCCACCTAAGCAAAGAAAA